TGATCTCTTGGAAGAGGTACGGGAGCAAGCTGCTATAAAGGTGGTCTCTTACCAAACTAAGACAGCAAAACATTTTAATAGCAAAGTCAAGACTCGGAGATTCAGAACTGGCGACTTGGTCTTGAGGAGGGCCGAAGCAGCAGGTCACCCCCCAGGGAAGCTCGGGTCCATCTATGAAGGACTCTTTGAGGTCATACGACAGGTTCGCAAAGGAGCATATAGCTTAAGAGACACTTCGGGTAGACCTCTTCCAAGGCCTTGGAAGGTCGATAATCTGAAAATATAGTACAAGTAACATTCCCAATGCCATTTAGGAGATTTTCTTTTCCTGCATTTTTAATTCTTCTGAATATTGTTTTTGTTTCTTCGGGCCTGCGTGCCTTTGCATTTTATTTCTAGTTTAGCGGGTCTGCGTGCCCATGCATGTTTTCCGTTTTCTTTTATAATAAATTACGTTCGACTTGATCCCGTTTGGGTACGTAGGTAGTTTGGATACAATAAAAATCCGAGTCCAGTCCGAGCAATTAATAAATCCAAGCCTCGGGTATAACAGTCCGATAGTTTGCTTTGCGTTCAGGAATTGCCTGAGCCTTATCCTCGACAAGCCAATGTAAGCCTTGCCATCGAGCAGGCCAATGTAAGCCTTGCCCTCAAGCAAGCTGACCTAAGCCTTGTCTTCAACAAGCCAATGTAAGCCTTGCCCTTGAGCAAGCCGTCCTAAACCTTGTCCTTGACAAGCCATTAAAAGCCTTGCCCCGAGCAAGCACCAAAACCTGGGAGCCCCGAGCAACTAAACATCCCGAGGATATACATCATTAATTTTTGTCTAGGTTCCAGAGAGAAAGCTCGGGATGTACTTCTGTACAGAGGTCGGTCACAATTCTTCATACACCTCGGGGACTACCATCCCTCGAGATTAGTCCTCGAGTGTTAAGTGTCCAGAAAGCTACATCCTACATTCACCACTGTCCTCGGCATTATAACTTGTTTAAAATTGAGTTATTTCTTCTCAATCGTCGAGATGATTAATTAGTCGTCGAAATAATTAATCTTCTTAAGTCCTCGAGGTAACTTGTCTACATGCTCGAGTTCAACATTTGATGTTCCAAAATGATTTTACAATTTGAGTCCTCGGGATAACTTGTCTACATGCTCGAGTTCAATACTTGATGTTCCAAAATGATTTTACAATTTGAGTACTCGATATGTTTTAACTACTCTAGGCATCGAGTTATTTAACCATCTTACATCAAGCTATTTGAGTTTGTCATGGTCGAGATATCAGTACACAGCAAAAAGAAAAATGCTTGATCGAGCAAAATACATGTTCAAATTACAAAAAGAAAGGGGTGTCATCATAAGAAAAGACATAAACTAATCTAAGTCCTCGGCCCTTTCTCCCGAGGCTGTGCTCCCCTGCTCCTCCACTGCGTCCTCGCCGTCAACGTCGACCTCATGGTCCTCGACGGTTTCCTCGGACTCTGAAAACTCGAGGACATCAGCAACCTCAGGGATGCTCTTTAAATCCTAGGGTTTAGCGTCGGGCTTCGATCTCAAAAATGCCCGAGCCTCCTTAAAGGCATGGAAGTACGAGCCCATGGCGTACTCTCCCTTAAGACCGTTGAACTCCTCGAACATTTTGAAGTCCTCGATCGCAACCCCTCGAGCTTCAGCCAGGCGAGTCTCAAAATCAATCTTCAAACGCTCGATCTCGAGCTTTAAACCTTCGGCCTCGCCCTTGGCAGCTCTAGCCTCTTCTCGAGTTTTTTGGACGTCGTTCTTCGAGTCCTCGAGCTCCTTCTGAAGAAGAAAGCGCTCAGCCTCCAAGTCGGTTATCCTCTTCTCATGTGCTCGAGAAACGTCCTCGAGTTCAGTGGTTTTTTTGGGCCTCATCTTTCCCCTTTAGAGAAAGGCATCGGGCAATGCTCAGAGCCTACATCATATAAACCCGAGCTTAAGCAATTACATCGTTTAAACCTTATATTTACACCAAGTAAATTGAGCGAGCTTATCTTCAGAGTGAGAGATTCCAGAGCCTTCATGCCCTCATCAAAATTGAGGTCCTTCCGATACTTGTCCACGATGCTAGACACCAGAGGACACCAGTTAGGATCCTGATCTTGGAAAGAGGGCATAGGTGGGACCTCATCCTCGAGGTTGTTAACCTCGAGAGTACTCCTTGGCCGAGGACGTGACTGAGGTGGAGCAGTAGGAGTCTCAGTGGCCTGTGTGGTCTGGGTATGTCCCCGGGCAGAAGTTTTCCCTGGCCCACTTCTGATATTTTCGGGGCCTAAGTCCCGAGCTCTCTTCTTCCCTCTCTTTTGCCCTGGAGCTCGAGCTTGAGGGGCTTTCGACTTTTTGGTCACGGCCTGTCTGAGGGCTGAAGGATCAAAAGTCATCTCTGCAAAAAACAAGTCATTAAAACGAGCACAATTATACGTTCAAAGACAGATCAGTAAGGAAGAAGGCAAAAAAGTCCTACCCTCAGTGCCTTTCACATCCACGAGGTCGAAGAAAGTCATCCCCGAGGATGTCATCTATATCATATACAAGAGGCTCGAGGTTCTCTAACATTACCCTATGCCTTTCTTAAGACTCAAAATAGGCCTGGCTTTCACAAAATCTGGGAGTGTCGGGCAAAACCCACCTAGGACTAAAAGGAAGGTCACTATCCTGAGGTACGACATAAAACCGCTTTTCTTTCCATCCTTTCAAAGAATTGGGCATCCTCGGTAATCTAAATCCTCCTCGGGACGAAAGGTAAGCAAAACAAGTATATTGAGGAAGCTGTTTCAGCTCGAACACCATTCTACAGAGATTGACGTATAGGTTAATTCCCAGGTATCTACAAGCTATAAAGAAATAGGTGAGCATCCTCCACCCATTTGGCACGAGCTGTCCAGGGCTCATATTATGCTCGACCAATAAAGCCACAAAAAAGGGATGCAGAGGCCATCTAAATCCCCCCTTAAGTGAGTCCCTAAAAATCACGAACTCTAGATCCCGAGCAAAGGCCATCCTATCCTCTACCCCTGGCGTCCTAATATCACATTTAGGCATGAGCCCATGCTCCCTAGCCGTCGATATTGCTAGATGTTCCTTAAATTTACAGGGAACCTCGGGGTACCTAAAAGGGGTCGGGATAATTTGTGCTCGAGGTTGGGCATTAATTGGGACAGCCATAGGTATGATCGAGCATCCTATGTCCTCGGGAGTACTCCTCGAGGATGATGACGAAGACTCACTACTGCTACTACTAGACATCCTGACCTAGGTAAAAAATGCCTAAAGAATAACTTAAAAACTCGAGGTCTTATCTTAAAGTCGACGCCTAAAAACTCAAAGTTCCGATCCCGACGATTAGCGAGAGAAGTTTACAGAGAGTAAAAAGTGAAAAATGAAATGTGGAGAGGGTATTTATAGGCAACAAGAGCAGGAAGCCCAAAGGTCACTACCCCGATCATCAGATCTGGACACGTGTCCTACATCCACCCCTACCAGTTTTTACCGCCTTTTCCTATTTTAGGGCTGACGTCAGTACACGTCAGCCTTCTAATCACAGTCGTTCAGAAAATCCTCGAGCTAAAAACTCGAGCTTTTATTTCCAGTCTCTTTGCATCATATCCTCGAGCGAAGTCTTCGACCATATATGCACGGGGGCCAATGATGGTGACATTTTCCAATATCTCCGATCAACACATTATCCCGATGACTATTTTTGGTAAAGTTGTAAATCCATCTACGGTGTCCTCAAGCATGTGCATCCTCGAGACACTAAGCCCGACCACATCCGTCTGGCTGCTTCGCATATTGCAAATATTTCGTCCTCAGCATCACAGTCGTCGGGCATATGCTTCCCTCACAACCGACGATGGTTGACCCTTTAGAATTCCTACTCAATTAGGACTCTTAACTCCTGCAAGGATTCTATCCCACATATAATTATGGAATTCAACAAACTCCTTAACTATTCAGGATTCCAACAGATGAGGACATCCAGTTAGTTGAGTTCCACTAGGAGAATGTCACTTACTACTATAAATACAGAACCTTGAGCCATTATTCAGGTACGTTTTTTCATTGTTCTCCAGCACGTAGCCTCACGCACAAAATTCCCTTTCTGACTTAAGCATCGGAGGGGCGACGAGAACACGCCTCGTTGCCTTTGTTTCAGGTACCGGAAGATCACGTTCGTGCTTCGCATCAGTCATCAAGCTCAGGAAATCTACAGGTACGATTTTTGGTAGCATCAGATAATATTCGTGGGTACAGCATGTAATTATGTTTTTGTCCCTGAGTTATTCCACGGAAGTTCAGTGAGCAGTGGTTAAGTATTCATTTTCCATGGGGGCAATATAGCAAACGGCAGCGCACATGGATGTGTAAGCTTTTCCAGTTAAACCGCCTGGCAGCTGGCCGGTCAGGTTTTCAAAACATTGATAAAGAGTGATTTGAAATCTCATGGTTTATGTGGATGATTAAGCTTTTATTTGATGTGAGAGGAACAGACCATTGTGAGGCGTCAGATTCAGTTCACATCTGGTATTCTTTTGCAGTAAAATGTTGATAGAGGAAGACGCAAAGACCAGTTTATTTCCTCCGTAATGTTGTTGAGGATTTTATGCCTTTTAAATTGTCATTTGTCAATTAGTGGGTTTACACATAATGTTTTCAATGTCCCTAGAGGAAGCATATGACAAATCTAACTGAGAAGTCGCAATTTGGAAGGTATATCTCAACATGTAGTATGGTCATTTACGGGACATGTCTGGGTAGAACACTTCTCTTTACAGTCCTGAATCCTGTGCGCTTCTGTTTGCACTGTAATTTCCTTGATTAGCTAGGACTAGTCTTATCCAAGACTCTTCCCCTGTTTCCCCAGATTATGTGTAGGTACTTTTATCATCAAAAGTTGATAGTCTATTTGATTTTCTCTTTATATATTAAGATTCCATTATCTCCGAATAAATTAACCTGCATGTTTATATCATTGTTATCAGGTTTTACATTATGCATCTTGAAGATAGGGCTCTCAAGTTCTCAGATATAACACATCATGCTAGTGTGACCCAGTGCCTTGGTTCAATTGGTGGCCATGTTTGGTATCTTGGAGTTGGAAAGCCATCTACTGTAGATCCAACAGAAATAAATGGCGCCACTGGTGCAGATGTGGTGCAATCTCACTGTGGTCACTTTTATGTTCCTCCGGCTGTTGATGACATCCGTGCTTTTAGAATTTCAGGTCCAAAGTTCTTGAAGCTGAATAGAGGTACATGGCATGCTGGGCCATTGTTCACGGAAAAGACAATGGACTTCTACAATCTGGAACTGAGCAACACAAATGTGAGCATTTCTTACCATTGTGCATGATTGTACTGTTACTTAATTTGGTTTTGAAAGTTGAGAAAATTGTAAACACGATAAACCTTTGGTTGCGAGACCTTTTTGACTGAATCCATTAGCGGCTTTTATTTTTATTTTTTTATTTTTTTTTTTTTTTAATACTAATCATATGATTGATGAAGTTTCTTCACCTTGTCATTATAAGGTGCTAAATCTGGAAATCCTGATATTTTCAAGTCTTCTTGTACCTTCAAATACTCTTTGAACAGTTTGTCGAAAGAACAGTGTACCATTGTTGTAGACTTGACTTGCATATGACTTCAACCGACAATGAGGCATACTTTTGAATTTCGCTTTTGCTCTCTATACTGAACTTTCGGATTATTTCTATATGTTGTTTCTGGATAATTGCAATTAACATTCCTCCTTGTATGCAATCCCCACTACATGATTTAGGCCTTCCAGATATAATTTAGAGTTTGGAACCTTCAGTGCTTGAGCATTCGAAGTATCTGTTTCTTGTTGAAGTGGTACGAAAAGGTGTATGAAATTATAGTCCCATCATTTTATGTTTCACTTGAGGAGATAAATGAAAAATACTAATACTAAATGTGATATATTTGTGTATGAACCAAAATCGAAATCTTAGTATGATGAGTGCATAAGGACATCTGATTCATCGTGTTATTTTCAGAACTATAAATGTAACAGAAATAGTTTAGGTGACATTGCAAATTTCAGTGATAGCACGACCAATGCTGGGTCCTGGCTTTCATTCATAATTTCTTGATATGCTCATCTGTGGGGGTTTCCATGGTACAACATAAGTCATCCAGTTTTGAGGTGTTTCCTGGGATATCAAACAATGGCTTTTGAAAAAGACACATCCATTCTGAGTAACAGTTAGTAATACAAAGCTCTAAATCCCCATAAACGTCCAAACCGCATTGCGTCATCTGGCAAGTAAGTTACTCAGGCGATTCTAATTTTGAGTGATAAAAGGGGGTTGAGTTTTAGTGTTGTACCCATGAAACTGACAGTGGCTGTGATCATATGGTATAAAGAGGATTGCCAAAAGAGTCGACTTGCCATTATCTTCAAGAAGTGTATATGTACATTCAAATAAGCCTTATCCGGATTATGGATTGGTACAGTACTAAGCAATGACCTTTATTCGAAAAATCTCTAAGAGGCTTATTAGTTATTTGGTTTAATGTCTCAACATGTATCTGTTCATTTTTGCTATATGCAAGTGTCCCTAAATCATGGATGTAACTTTGTTCCTTTTGCCTTTATGTGCAGGTGGTAGATCATACAGTCCACGACTTCGTCAAGAAGAATAAAGTGGTATTTCTGCTGGACGAGTAGAGGGCCTACTTCTAATTGTTAAAAACCGGACGAGAATATGAGAAAGACAATGCTTCTGTGAAGAGTGAGTTGGTGGTTTGTTAATGGCCAGCAAATTTTTCCTATGCTGTAAGGATGTATCAATGCTCTTTTGCTTTTGGAATGAAAAGTTAACTATTGTTGAAGAACAACAACAATGCCAACCCCTAAGCATATTTACGAGCAGCTTTTGGAATGAAAAGTTAACTATTGTTGAAGAACAACAACAATGCCAACCCCTAAGCATATTTACGAGCAGCTGATTACTGTGTCCTTTTATTTCTTCTAAATGTTCGACTCCAGGATATTGAGTTATAACTACAGGCGCTTAATCAGTACAAGATTCCCGTCCTCGCTTCTTCCATGGGTGGGTATAGCGCTTGGGCGATTAGGGGTTTCCGGGCATTTGTCCAAGCCAAGCCCATTCGCGAGATCCTCACAACCCCCTTTAACCCCTAGGGGTGCCGAATCAGAGCTGAAGCTGCTAATGGGGACTGAGCAGATATTGACCTATGAAATTTGTACAGTTCGGCTTGGATTCTATGCAAAGCGATATCTTTCCATTCTAACTCCTGCTGTCCAACTAGCTACAGCGATCACAGCTGCCGCTAAGATCTATATGTACAGGAACTGTTCAGGATATGTACACCATCCTCCGTCACTGTCTGGAACGATAATTCATTGTCATCCTCCCTAGTCAATTGCTCATGCCCCTTTTCCCCATTACTCAATCAATTCGAGTTGGAATAAACTTTCAATCGGTTGCGAAGGTTGACACCTCTAATTACAGCCATAAAACATTCCAGAGATCGAGTGTTGGTTCTTTCTCCCAAGCATTACCCTTTTGGCCAACGAACTACAAATACAAGACATGGAAGCCAGGAAAACTTGCAGAAAAGTGTCATGTCCAGTCAAAGGTTGTTTCTCATGCACGTAATCATGCGAGTCACTGCTTTCAGCCAACGAGAAACTAGATGCTATTTTGACACTAGACACAATAAAGAATGAAATCGTGAACAGCCAATAAAGTTCTAAGTGGCAGAAGATTGATCAGAGTAGACATGGAACATTATTCAGAAAATTTATTTGAGCAAAGTCGAGATACGGCACAAAATTCATCTGCCCTTTATATCTCAAAGTATTGTTGAATTTTAGTTCATTGTAAAAATGCCATGCCAATAACCTGTTACTAGATAAACCACCATACCCTGTAAACTCACACTGATCCCTTGACAACGTTGCCGCGAAATTCAATTCCTGCAATAAAGTTTAAATTGATTGATTGACAAAGAAAATGAACCCAGTAAGACAGAGTCGTGCTTCTGCATTAATACATCATGCAAATAAAACTTCTTCTTTAAGCACAGTTTTAGAATAATTTTTAATATATTTACACACCTTCCTTCACTATTTCTACATATTTGTGACCCTAAAATTGCAGTCCGTCCTCTGAAGTAAATGCATTTCACATTTATGTACACATATGTACACATAGTTTAGCAGCATACAAATGCAAAAAAGTGGTATAATCGCAGATTAGCCGACATAACAAAGAGCTTTTATATGCACAATCATGAGCAAGATCAAAATTAAGAAAATAATGTTGGAAAATTTCATTCGGGTAGCTTGGTTGCTTCATAACAAATGTAGCTAATGGGGCAAATCCTCTTGCCGACTTGATCGTGTAATTAGGAAACGACTAACAAGCAATTTCCTAGGTAAAGTACGCAGTTGTTTCGACGAAAGTTTGCTCTTTAACATGGTTCACACCACACATCCCTATCAAAAGATAATGAATATTAATGGAAATTAAAATTCTTTCCTCCAAGCAGAAACTTTTATTTAGTACTGAACCAGCCTCGTACGTTAATGCTTGATAATCAAATAAAAAAATAATCCAATATGGCGAGAAGATGATAACTTACTGATTATTAAGACTGATAGACATCGGGAAGCCTGAGACCCACACTTGCGGCTGATTTTCCAAGTATTCTTTTCATCTCATCAGATCTATCCACTGCAATGTTGTATGAAAACAGTAGATCCTGCACAACCACCATGACATAAAATCAAATTTTGAAACATAACTCGTTTCCAGTATCACAATTCAGAAAATGTTATGAGCAGTGTTAACATTTTGAGTTTACTATAAAGATTTTTCTAGATAAATGTTCCCAAATCCGCATATTCGAACAATGTATCATGATTAAACATTTGAAATCAAGTCAATTGATTCAAAAGACGGTCCAAGAGACAGAAAAGAGTTGTCGTCATTTCTAAGAGACATGACACAAAAGAATGAAATTCATACATATGTTTACAATGTACATTAAATATTGTCAGTTGACTGAGCACTATTTTCAAACAAATCAAAAGCGGGAAACCTATGTGCATGTACCAAGTATAAAAATGACAACAGTAGGCACAGATTGAGAACTCCTTGGAAAGCAGAAGTCAGTGGTGGGGCCAGGATTTTGCCTGAGTGGACAGCCCCACCCCACCCCCAACTCCCACCCCATCCCATCAAAACAACGTATCTCAGTCAATAATGTAGTATCTTTCTGAGGTCTGTAACAGTTTAATTTGAACTTTACATAAAATATTTTTTTGATGAATAACAAAAACACTAAGAATTTAACATCTTCACAGCAGATAATTTTAAGAAACAAACATCACACTTCCTTTTAGTTTTCATTAACACGTTATACAAAAGAGGGAGATCAGAATATTTAAATAGGCACAAAACAGATGGGTCAAGATTTCTGAAGAGGATGAACCTAGAGATCTCAAGAAAGGAAGAACCAGGTGAGTCGTCCAGCAAAACATGAACTACTGACAGGGGGTAGCAATGACTAAACTTTTCAGTCAAAGAAGAAAAAATTCTGTGAATCAGAGAGGCATGAAAAGCATACAACAGAGGTAGTTACTTTTCCAAAACGTACCATTTTCTTCACAATAAATAACCATAAGGTAGCATTAAAGTGAGTGGATTTGATTTGAACAATAACATGGTTAAGGTTTATTGAAGAAAAGATAAGAGAGAAGCTGCAAACAATTAAATTGTGGCAAGATATCAATGTGAAGGTAAGCATTTCAGCATTCATTGACGATTCACAGGAGAATTTTACTTTACATGCTATTTTTCATTTGCACGTGTTGTGTGCTTGGGGTAGTGCATAATCCCATTCAGTTGCAAAGCTGGCTTCTTGCCACCACATCAATCTAGAAACATTAAAGCATGAAGTAAAACATCCTAGAGAAGTGGTTACGCAACAAAAAAAGCACACAAAAAGTGTGCTTTAATCAAGAAATGTTACCTGTACCTACATGCATATAAATAGATAATATTGTAGCAAAGATACGAAAAGAAAACCAGTTAATGGAAGATAAAAGCATGAATCAATACAGCACACAAGTGCATCAAAAGTTGTATACCATATTCTAAAACTAGTGACATACTCTTTGGTATCTGCATGTCTTGAACATATGCATAGGTACACAAAAAAGGTGATCAGAAAGAGGCTTAGCCTGGCATATTTTCATGGGAATGATAACACTAGAGCAGCATTCATGCTAATCAAGGAAGCAAATTAAGCGAGAGGTGTATAGGTTCAATATGAACTCGGTGATCCTATTTGGTCAACTACCTTACCTTGATTTACCACTTCTGTTGCATAACTCTTTATCTGAAAGAAAAGGGTGGATTACATTTCATTTGGTTCAAATTCATTCTGTTGAGTCAAGCATATACTGTTTACAGCATAACATACAACACTATCCACCATACTATATGCTTGAAATTCTGGACATAGCTCGCTGAAACTGCTTTATTAAATCTTATTTCTCTACATTTAATCAGAACCCGGATCTTTAAAATCATCTACCAATTTTCTACAGGTATAGAAATGTAGCATCAATATGTTTAAAAGAAAATCGATATCTTGAAAAATTTGTATAGTAGTACAATAATACCTTGTGGTGATGGACACTGTTGAGATAGACTGTGTAATCATAGGCAAGCTTCAATTTTTGTGGCTTCTCTGAATTGATATTATTCCTGAATTCTTGCTTGATGAAATCGGTGAAATGGGATTTATGCTCTTCTCTTCCTATGTGTTTCCTGACTGCTTTCAGAATGTCCCTGTACACCGTCTTTCCTGTTTTATTTAGGCCTTGAAAAGATGAACCCATCTCTTCCGTTGGGTTTACACAGAAATCTTGGTGTTCTGTTTCTGCATTGAATCCCAAGATAGTAAAAGCTATCAAGATTTTCCCGTTTCAATTTCTTCCTAAGTAATCAAAATAATACGTATACCAATAACAGAATTATAATACAAAATCTGAAAGAGGGGAAAACGGAAAGAGAAAAATTAGCTTACCTAGGTCCAGTGAGGAGAACTGGGTTTTACGAGATGGGGTAGTCGGGGAATGATGGTGCCGCTAGTTGAAGATTGAGTTGACGGTGGAGACGACTAATTGAAGATTATGACTAAATACTAAAAAGGAATTTTCACCTGCCGCAATTTTGAAGTTTTTGTTGTAAAGCTATGAGATAACAAGAGCTCCACCCCACCCCATTCCAATGTAATTTTGGAAGGAAATGTATTTTGAAATAGTAATTTTTTGAAAAACTAAGAAACAAAAATCACACTTCCTTTTAGTTTTCATTAACACGTTATACAAAAGAGGGAGATCAGAATATTTAAATAGGCACAAAACAGATGGGTCAAGATTTCTGAAGAGGATGAACCTAGAGATCTCAAGAAAGGAAGAACCAGGTGAGTCGTCCAGCAAAACATGAACTACTGACAGGGGGTAGCAATGACTAAACTTTTCAGTCAAAGAAGAAAATATTCTGTGAATCAGAGAGGCATGAAAAACATACAACAGAGGTAGTTACTTTTCCAAAACGTACCATTTTCTTCACAATAAATAACCATAAGGTAGCATTAAAGTGAGTGGATTTGATTTGAACAATAACATGGTTAAGGTTTATTGAAGAAAAGATAAGAGAGAAGCTGCAAACAATTAAATTGTGGCAAGATATCAATGTGAAGGTAAGCATTTCAGCATTCATTGACGATTCACAGGAGAATTTTACTTTACATGCTATTTTTCATTTGCACGTGTTGTGTGCTTGGGGTAGTGCATAATCCCATTCAGTTGCAAAGCTGGCTTCTTGCCACCACATCAATCTAGAAACATTAAAGCATGAAGTAAAACATCCTAGAGAAGTGGTTACGCAACAAAAAAAGCACACAAAAAGTGTGCTTTAATCAAGAAATGTTACCTGTACCTACATGCATATAAATAGATAATATTGTAGCAAAGATACGAAAAGAAAACCAGTTAATGGAAGATAAAAGCATGAATCAATACAGCACACAAGTGCATCAAAAGTTGTATACCATATTCTAAAACTAGTGACATACTCTTTGGTATCTGCATGTCTTGAACATATGCATAGGTACACAAAAAAGGTGATCAGAAAGAGGCTTAGCCTGGCATATTTTCATGGGAATGATAACACTAGAGCAGCATTCATGCTAATCAAGGAAGCAAATTAAGCGAGAGGTGTATAGGTTCAATATGAACTCGGTGATCCTATTTGGTCAACTACCTTACCTTGATTTACCACTTCTGTTGCATAACTCTTTATCTGAAAGAAAAGGGTGGATTACATTTCATTTGGTTCAAATTCATTCTGTTGAGTCAAGCATATACTGTTTACAGCATAACATACAACACTATCCACCATACTATATGCTTGAAATTCTGGACATAGCTCGCTGAAACTGCTTTATTAAATCTTATTTCTCTACATTTAATCAGAACCCGGATCTTTAAAATCATCTACCAATTTTCTACAGGTATAGAAATGTAGCATCAATATGTTTAAAAGAAAATCGATATCTTGAAAAATTTGTATAGTAGTACAATAATACCTTGTGGTGATGGACACTGTTGAGATAGACTGTGTAATCATAGGCAAGCTTCAATTTTTGTGGCTTCTCTGAATTGATATTATTCCTGAATTCTTGCTTGATGAAATCGGTGAAATGGGATTTATGCTCTTCTCTTCCTATGTGTTTCCTGACTGCTTTCAGAATGTCCCTGTACACCGTCTTTCCTGTTTTATTTAGGCCTTGAAAAGATGAACCCATCTCTTCCGTTGGGTTTACACAGAAATCTTGGTGTTCTGTTTCTGCATTGAATCCCAAGATAGTAAAAGCTATCAAGATTTTCCCGTTTCAATTTCTTCCTAAGTAATCAAAATAATACGTATACCAATGACAGAATTATAATACAAAATCTGAAAGAGGGGCAAACGGAAAGAGAAAAATTAGCTTACCTAGGTCCAGTGAGGAGAACTGGGTTTTACGAGATGGGGTAGTCGGGGAATGATGGTGCCGCTAGTTGAAGATTGAGTTGACGGTGGAGACGACTAATTGAAGATTATGACTAAATACTAAAAAGGAATTTTCACCTGCCGCAATTTTGAAGTTTTTGTTGTAAAGCTATGAGATAACAAGAGCTCCACCCCACCCCATTCCAATGTAATTTTGGCAGGAAATGTATTTTGAAATAGTAATTTTTTGAAAAATATATTGTTAAAATAAATTTAAAAAGTTTCATTTGCATATAATATTATTTTATGAACGAGTGTGATTGAAAATAAATTTTGAAAAAAAAATGTATTTTAAAAAAATGACGCCAAGACAAGTTTGATACATAGATAAACTTATATAGCTTAGAACTATTTATTCGGGATTTGTTCGATAGGAATTTTGAGAATTGATTTTTTAATTATTAAGGGAAAATGGGGGTCATCTATGAGCGAAAAAGTCAAAAATTACAGCTGGAATAATGCAATAATAATTAAAAAATCAATTTTTTGAGTAAAAAAGCACTCTCAAACACCCCCTTGATTCTTACTGCACTCTCATTTTTGAATCCTATAAATACAAGATTTTAGTTCTCAATAAAATACACACTTAAATTTTTACTCTTTACTTTTGTTGCTTATTTATTTTACTTATTCGTATCTTGTATTTAATTTTATAATACATTGTCAAAACAATCTCTAAAAATTAAAGTGAATTAATTAGAATGTAATAATTAGTTTCTATGTATATGCTTGGTGGTTACGAATTTGTCAAAATCAATTTTTCCAAATAAAAAAAAATTGTGATAGTTGAAGCAAAAGCCCCAAACCATTAAAATATCAGCAAACTTTCCCCTAACCTTTCAATTGTTGCATTTGTTATCCCTAACTTTTCAACTGTTGCATCCCAAGCCTTTTTGGACGGTTTTCATACATTTTTCTGTCAGTTGACACCAAAAATTAAGTTTGACTAACATTTTATATTTTAAAAAGGGACAAAAAAGTAATTATTTATTAAATTAATCTTTAATTAATAAAGAACTAGTCAACTAGATAGAAAATAAACTAGCATATACATAGAAACCACAAAAGTGGAAGATATTGCAGAGACTATGAGGACAGAGGATTGGAGTTGATGGGGTTGAGGATTGGTGGAGGATGGGGTTGGGGAAGAAGATGAAATGGCTAGGAAAGCCAACGACAATGACAACAACAAGTAGTGGTGACTATTGAAGATGATGATTTGGTTTGGCTTGGTTCAAGAAATGGGAATAAGGTAGGGTAGGGTTGGACAAAAAAAATCGTGAAACCGCAAATCGAATCGAAATCATTGGTTCAAATCCACGTGGACCCGTGATTTCTTTTCCCTCAAGTCAAACCAAACCATTTCAAAATGGTTTGGTTTAGGTTTTAATTTTCAAAAATCGTACAAAATCGAACTGAATCATTTTCAAATTTTAATAAAAAATAAATTTTATTAACTTAAAAAACTTTTAGTTTTCTCTTTTGAAAAAAATACCAATTTAGCAATGCAAATTATAACCAATCTACTAAATAATCATAGAAAGTAAATTAAGTTCATCATTATTGGCATATAATTCAATAAATTCCCAATATATGTTCACACACACACACAACAATCCAAATTATAATTCAACAAAACTATGTCAGCAAATCACGTCCAAAGTTTCAGAAACCCAAACATAAACTCTCATTTCCTAACATTTGACGATTGTTTTCCACTGTTGAACGAATCTCCAGTTGCCTTTACTTGTTAGTCTACTAATCTCTACTTGAATCGTCTCTATCTCTCCTCTTTCGATAATTATTAGATTTTTATTCAAATCAATTTCCCATTGTTATTTCTTTTATTTTTTTAATTTGGAACTTATTATACACTTGTGAGTTGTGGTTTACATAGAAAAATGATTGTTTGTGTGTCTAGATGATTAATAAACTTATTTGTGATATGGAAAGAATGATGGACGGAGCGTATTAATTGTATGAAAATGTTAAAGTTCTCTAACTAGTACTACTATCTTCTACTTTCGTAAAGTAGTTAGAGGATGAAATTCGTCAATTCCCAATAAGTTGAAACTTTATTCATCTTTGTACATTTAAACATATCATGTTCAATCCTTATTTAATATCTCAGTAGCAAAACGAAAGGAGTTTTAACCAAACTATAATAACAAAATATAACTCCACATTTACCAATCGTTATATGAATATGAATGTCAAACAAGAAAAGATAAATAAAAATGAAGAAATATGTATTTTTTCTATTAACATCTTTTAGCAACCAACTTTGAAAATAATTTATTCATGGGTTTCATGGTAAATATTAATATAATTTAACATTTAATATTATTAGTTCTTATTTAACCTTATATTTAACTTATATTAAATACATTATTATAATGTCGAAAGGTAAATCGCAAATTAAAACCGAACCAAACGGTAAATTATGGTTTGATTTGGCTTGACTTGGTTTGAAAAATAAAATGGTTTGCTTTGGTTTGAAAAAATTTCAAACCGTATAAAATGGTTTGAGTTGAAAATATAGTACAAACTATCCAAATCGAACCGCGTTCGCCCCTAAGGTAAAGGATATGAACATGGAGCCTGCTCTTTTTTTTTTTGTTTTCTATTTAATTAAAACTTATTTTAATAAACAATCACTTTTTGTCCCCTTTTAAAATATAAAATATATATGGTCAAATTTAATTTGTGGGTCAACTGACCAAAAAATGAATGGAAACCATGTAAAAGGATTTGGAATGCCACGATCAGAAAGATCAGAGGAGACGACTACAATAATTAAAAGATTAAGAAAAAAGCTTGCTAATATTTTGAAGATTTGAAACTTTTGCTGCAATTATCCCAATTTTTTTTTTTCTTTTTTCCATTACACTGTTGTAGGCCTATTAGATTACATTACCATTAAAATTTTACAATCTCATTCCCAGCCACTGAATCAAAATTATATTAATCTCAAGTGCACTCTTTGTCCCCCGAGACAAGAAAAATAAAAATAATAAAATAAAATAACCCCACTTATGCATCATGCCAATCTATTTCTTGTCATAAGTTAATTGTTGTAAATTTGTAATTATGTGAAACCCATGTCATGCATTTACTTACGGT